ACCTTTCCAGAAAATAATAATATTTGTTTATATTGGGATTCAGTAGTAAAAGGTTAGCCACACATACGAACTACACTGAGGTGACAAACGTCATGGGACACCTCCTGAAATCGTGTCAGATACTTTACCCTGCAAAGTGCCGCAAATCGACGTGGCATGGACTCAAGTCGTTGATAGTTGTCTGTAGAAATACTGAGCCATGTTACCACTATATCCGTCCATATTTTCGAAAGTGTTGCTTGTGTAGGAATATGAGCACGAATTGACCTCGCCGATGGGATCTCGAGCGATCTGGGTAGCCAGATAATTCGCTCGAATTGTCCAGAAAGTTCTTCAAACCAATCGCAAACAATTGTGTCCCGGTCACATGAAGTATTTCCATCCATTCATCGTTATTGTGGAACATGAAGTCCATGAATGGCTGCAAGTGGTCTCCAAGTAGCTGATCATGACCATTTCCAGGCAGTTGTAGCAGAGGAGCCAGTTCATTCCATGTAAAAACCGCCCACACTATTATCGAACCCCTACCAGTTTGCTCAGCGCCTTGTTGACTACTTGGGTCCATGGCTTCGGGGAGTCAGCGCCACACTCGAACTGTACCATCAGCTCTTACCAACGGAAATCTGGTATCATCTGACCAAGACACTTTTCCAATCGTATGGTCCAATGGATATATCACGTGCCGAGGAGAGGCGCTAGAGGTGATGTGCTGCAAAGGCACTCTAGTCTACCTTGTGTTGTCGAAGTCCACGAACCCTTTATATGTCGGGTTATTTATCTTTTATCTGTTTAATTTTGATCTTAGAAATATGAGAAAAGTATTAATTTGTGATTTGAATAAATATAAGGGGAGAAAGATAAAATGATGTGGTCGTAATGACGACCACAATGCATTTACGCCTGTGCATTACACTATTTGGATTGTGGTTGCGAACACAACCACCTCATACAATTCGTTGCTTCTTATACACTTATATTCAGTCACAACAAATATGTGCTTGTTTTTTACAAAATAGAATAAAAACAAATAGAATAGACATGAATTACAAACTAATACAAGAAAATATGATATACAGTGACATAGAATGAACTAAAATAGTACAATCATTGGTGGAGTAAACGTGGACTGCTAGACTTTATTAGTTGCGTCATTGCCGTTGCGTCAACAGCTTCGGAATCCCCCCTCCCTATTCTCAAAATCTAACGCTCCATTATCATTTTCGTCATTATTCCCCAGGACATTGTTGAATTCTTATTCGATTATAGATTCCAAATTATGCATATTAATTTCTTTGTAAAAATGTTATTTTATTACTCATCATGAATATACAAAGTAAAAGTATTCATAAACGTCCCTAACAAAGCAAGCCCGAACACACTCTGACTCGACAGATCAATCCAACTAGTTCTTAGTTCAAAACGTTCTGAAAAACATGATGCGATGTACACTAAGTACACAGATGGCGTTTCTGTCTGTATTTTTCTTATAAACAATGCAAATTCCCATTTTTAGTTATTATATAACAAAGACTACCACTAGTAACAAACATCGTGTTAGAATATGTTAAATTAACTGTTTGTTAGTAAATGTCTCACGAATGACTCCTGTACGAACCACATGAACTTTCATAATTTAGTTACAACACGTTAAAAGTGTGTGTGACAAAGACTGGCTGTATTAACAAAATACTACTGCCGAATTTTCAAACCGTTTATTTCTACACGTAAGGTTTTCTTGCGAAATCACTTTACATGTATTGTATAATTACGAGAATTTCATCACAACTGTTTTCATAATACTTTTTATTCTACAGAAAAAACAATATTTAAATTACACAACATGTTAAAATTAATATATATGGTTGTTAATACATGTCACTAGAATGTTTTTGTCTTGTTTCCTTCACTATTGTATAGTTTCACACACATTTTAACACCCGCTGCTTCTTTCTTGAGAAAGTCCTTATGTTCCTTGTTTATGTTTGTGTTCCGGTATTTCGCACTTTAACATCCAACAATAGTCTGCAAGCATATTGAAGCTCTACTGTCCCTGGTAACTTTTCGAATTTCATCATATCTTATGAAATTGTTTGCTTTGTTCTTCGCTCAAAAATTCTAGATTTTCAGGGAATTAATGTTACATGCAAGTTCCTGGTATTCTTCAAGCGTGTTAGCCACAATGTTTTCATAATTGGGATTATTACCAAGAAATTTTGAAACATTACAGAAAGATAACCATACTGCTTTCTCCTTTTCATCTTATTTTAAATGCTGCATCTGACCTCAGTTTTCTTATATCAGACCATTAAATATACCTTCTTTTAATCTTTTCTTTAGGTAGATTTAGATCTGTTTTGTTTTCTAGTCGCACCGGAGTTTGTATATCAGGGTCATGGGAGACAGGTAAAATTGCTGACTGAATAACGGGATACACAATTTGCTTTTTATTTTTAGAGTTGTACCCCTTCGCATCATAGGAACAGAAGTAGCACTCGTTACTATGGGTTTATTGTTCTCTCCAAACTATAGGTATTTCAAAAGATAACGACGGTCTTTTGTTGTTGACCCAATGACAATTTTTAGTGCATACTCTACATACTTTGTGGGATGCCTAAGGTTTACTATGGTCTCGAAATTTGATTTCAAAATAGTTAAGATACATTGTTTTATAAAATCTGTAATATTACGCATCTGCATTCGCAGTGTGTATTTACTACTTACATACCAAAAGTGATTTCGAATGGCGAGGAGTGGCTATTAAGTAGGATAATGGTGCACGTTATCTAGTTCTTATTTCCTGAGGCGCTCGCAACCCATTTCAGATAAACATTTGGGGCCCTCGGTGTTTACTGTAAACACATTCAAAGCGCTCGAAATACATTTGGTGTACAAATACTGACTTATACTACACGTAGTAAATTATTAGCTTAAATATTACTCTTTGGCCATACGAAAGTATACAGATTTTTTTACAAAAATAGTACATGATAGGACTTTTCTGGTTTAGGACTTCATTTCAGCATGCTAAAAATACCCCCAAAACATTCAAACTTCGGAGGCAGCAATTTCATCGTAAGTTAGTGTAATCAGCCACAACTGATAGCACAATTTTCACGTTTGCAATTTGGTCGTGGCTTGGTTAATACACGGGCGATTATTTCTTCTGTTCTCAAATATTAAATTTTCTACTGATGTTCTTGAATTGTTTGTCGAATAAAATGGTATATCACGTCGATGTGTTTCGACCTAGCGTGCGACCTAGCGGATTGTATACCAATTTTTCACAGAACTGGGTGTCATTGTAGACAACAATTTAATTAGAATATTTAATACCAAGTTCTCGGGCAATTGCAAGGATATGAATTACCTCATTACCAGCCTCCGTAATACGCAATACTTCCGTAATATTCTGCTTCCGTTGAAGATAGCGTGACTGTTCTTTGTTTACGTGAACACCATGAAATAACTGCTCCTCACATCATGAAGATATATCCATAATATGATTTTCTATCATATTCGGGCAATTGGCCCCGTCAACATTGTCGTAACCCTGTGTCCGTGTGTCATCTTGAGCATAAATTATTTTCCCATCAATTGCCCCTCCACCAATTGCCACTACATATATTCACCTAGGAGGAATGAGAGACATATTAACGAAGTATGAGCAAATTCAGTACGAAATATGGGTACTTTTAAGAACAGTATTACAGGGGTATTGGCACCCTGATTGGTTATTAGGAGATTAAAAATCATGTGATTTAAACTAGCCAACACGTTTTGGTGAATCATTTGAACCACATTATTTTGCCTTGAGAACCATTACAGAATATTGATTTTTACTGTTTTGACAGTAATTGCAATATATCAACACCATGATTGTCACTACAAAAAAAAACTCGGATAAGTTCATGGTAAAAAGAGAAAACCAAATTGTCTCAAGTAATGCTACTGTAACAGGAAATTCAGTAACTAGTCGTGTTATCACGACTGTTTACAAAAATTGAGTTAATTATACAGCTGCACTGATTACTCGTTGGATTTCTAGTTCCTGTTTCAAATTATAACTGCTGCTATATAAACTTGAGTAGAAAGTTTTTTCATATGTAAATACATAATAGGAAACATCAATTTCAATATGTGAAAAGTATATTACGATTCTTACAGTATGTCATAAAATGTGATCTATAAAATTTGCTGCCATTATATCTATTTCAGCAACACGAATAGGTGAAAATATTGATGTAAACTAGCAAACAATCGTAGTCAGCATTAAATTTATACTCATTCATGATGAATATGTAGTCTTTACTAATTTTTGATTTTTACAATGTCACATGTTATTTGTCTGTTCACAGAAGCTGTGATACAGAAATACTGGAAGAGTGCAAGGACGATCAGAGACTTAAGGATGATATTGAAGAATTTTTGCATTTCAAAAAAGAGAATCCCAATTACTTGAAGAATTTAATGATGCCAGAAGATAATTTCTAGAATTGAGTAGTTGCCCCGAAGAGGGAACTAACAAAAAAGAAAAAGAAAAAGGTTATCTGCAGTAAATTACAAGCTAGCTGCAAAATGTGTACACATATTTCAATTTTTTAAACGAAAATAATCATATATTTATTGAAAACATCTAATTACACAAAAAGTATAGTGATCTAATCAACATTGAATCCTTTTTCGAATTAACATTCAACTTATAAAATTAACACTACAAAAATACAATTAAATAGAGAGAACGGCCGAAAATATGAAATCAAATAATATTTTCACAAAATGCTCGATGTTCTTGAAGAATAAATTTACACATATCAACAAAAAATTTTTCTTTGTTTCCTTTATTGGTATATCCTTATTATCAAGTGGAGCAGAATGGAAGAAACAGATTCAGGCATTGTTCTCCTTTGATTATCTCACATGATATAACTTAGCAAGAACTGTGTTTAGTTCATTCTCAAATATGAACAGAGTTGGATTTTTTTTCTGAAAATTGTTTTTAGTGACATGAAGTTATGTTTTATTTTACATGCTTTTTGAGACAGTTTCCCACAACTGTAGAAGTCAATGAAGACAGGTTTAATTTTTTGTAATTGGCACAAAACATTGTAAAGGGCATGATCGGTAACCAGAAGTCATTGTTTTGGATCCACCACACAGGGTTTTTTCTTTTTGTCAAGCAAGAGCAAATTGAGAGCAAAATTTCTGTCCCAAGGTAGATAATTGTGCCCACTCATAAAACGTTTTACAATACTAATTTAAAACATTTTGTTCTTAGAATGAAGAAGTGGTATGAAGCTATGCCCTTCCGTTTGTAGTAGTCTTGAAATAAGTTCATATATTCAGAAATTCTGCTTCATTTTTTCTGCTATCGGCATACATTAACATTGCAAATAATAATGATATGAATTTTACTATAATTAATTTAAACCAAACGTATTTAGAAACCTCCCACATTGTAAATGTACAGAAAACGCTTAGGCCACACACCCCCTAGATTTACGTATGCACATTTTCCTGGCATTCCTGTTTTTGCAGTAATGTCTGGCATTTTTTTCTATTAACCTTCCAGTCCTCAATATTTATTACTCTGTTCTGGCCTCGTTTTAGTCGCTAAAAACACAAAACGATACAAATAACAGGCTAGCATTCGCCATCTTGCTGGGGTGTTGCATCGGCAGAGTTTGGTTAGATCGCTCTTCGCCGAAAGCCAACTTTCGAATGTAAAATATCACCTTTCCTCAACTGTTTTCAGCTGATAGGAGTATATCGGGACCTACCTTGAGACACACTGATCGATTTTCACTATAATAAAAAATTCTGGAATTTTGTTGGTTAGATCCCCTTTGAGACAATTACTCAATTGGTGTTGCAGATGTTGATATTATTTCCATTAATTAGGACATTTGAAAAAAGTATTTTTTGTAAGTTAACTTTGTTGAAAATTGCAACAAAAAGAACCAGCTTTCAGTTAAATCTTATAGAAAGGAAAAAATGATGACTTGTGAATATTGTATTTTCTATGGTAACATGTCATATGTGAATAAAAGTTATGTTTTGACACATGTATGCTGTAAAAAAATTGTACTATGTGTAATTATCTTGATGTGTATACACATACGGATGGACAGATGAACATATAGATATATTGTATTACTTTATTGTAATATACTTCTTTATATAAGTTACAGTAATATATTCCAATGCATCATACTATAAAAAAATAACATCAAGTATGCTTAAACCAACAATATTCTTAAGACATTTATCGATCCTCTTGATGAGGAATTAACTATCGTCCCAAACCATTTACGGTAGCCGCAGCTCACTGGAAGATTGCAGCTTCAATGTCAGGTGGATGCCGAAAACTTGCTGGATGTGTTGAACATTAGTAATGTGGTAAACATTAGTTTGTGGCTCCTGACGGGATTAAGATATTAGGTTATCTTCTCTAAATAATGATGGTCCCTGATCACGTAGAGGTGACTCCTATAGCAACACTTCTCTCACGAAATACGAACCACAAACGAGCTTACCTTCCTATTCCATAAACATCGTTAAGTCCGATTAATCCTATTAAGTAAGATACTAGTGGTATCTCGAGTACACAAGGTGTGTTGCATAATTTGTCTAGAATATGAAGTACACTCAAAACTGCCAGGTGCGGAAACAATTTTTTAAAATTTGTTTATATATCGTTTCTAGATGGTGTTTGCTACATTGCGGCGCCTGGCAAAATAGGTGTGAATTCACGAACACGGCACTTACCTGCGCCTTAAATCACCTCACAATTCAACTAATCTGACTACTCTATCACCATATATGTACTCTACGCACCAATACATATATTGTTGAGCTGCACCTCTAGCCAGTTCGATATTATCTCACCGTGCTGTAACGTTCCTGGCACGGAGAAGCGGGTTGTATTCCTCCTATATCGTAGTTATATTTGGGATTTGTCATAGTAAGTAATAGTGTCTACGTTCCGGCTGTACAATCCACTTGAAAGTTCTGCGGTTTTTGCACCGTGTTTCAGTTTCCTTTTTCTTTGTTTCTTTTGTCTTTATAAAGGTCTTGAAGATCCTTCTGGTATAGTGCCGGCTAAGCCTTGATATAGTATTGAGCAACAAGAGATCCCGAACCTTAGTTTGTCGCCTCCCGCCGTGACCAACTTGGTTCCACAATCCTTTGTTTCAACAAACTATGCGAACGAGCCGCGGCATCTTGGTCATGAATTCTTTTATTATCTTTTGGCAAGTAATATTCTCATGTTCCAATTATGTTCTAGCTTATTGGTAAGTTTGAGCCAATATTCTTTTCGCTAGAATTTCTTAACGTCTCTAACCTTTCTACCAACAAGAGATTGAGTATTGCATCCATTGTGATTTCAATATCATTCCGCAGCGCCACCTTGAATCGACTCTAGCTCCAGACGTAAGGAAATCAGATGAATTGCGGGCTCCTCCCATAGCCACAGGTGGAAAAGTCGGCAGTGAATTTCAGTTGTAGGTCCAATTCAACACTTAGATAAGTTTGAAGTAGTGTGGTTTGTATTCTTGCTTCCCTGTACTTGACTATTGGTCGTCCTTAGACGAATTTTTCTTGTCGGGGGCGATCTTGATCCGACTGGTCGTAGTCTTGTCTTCTCCGTAGAGATTTGGAGCCTGTTCTCATCGCATGAGGCCTACCTGAGTTCCCTTGCTCTCTCGACAATCGCTTCTGCCACGACCCGCAACCTTCACCAGTACCACGTCGTCAGTGTAGGCTACTGCTTTAATCATTCCGTTCTAGGGTGCGCAGCAGGTTGTCCATAATACCATTTCAAATGATTGTTCCGCAATTCATCCCTGCAAAAACCCTTTTGATAAACTCGTACACAACCCGCAGCCTCATCAATGATCGTTACCTTATTGCAGATTGCGATATAATTTGTACATATATTTTGGTATGTGTTAGTAATCCCGTAGTTCTTTTCAGAGAAAAGTCCACCAAAGGTGTCGATCGCGCCTGTGATATCAATGTACCCGCTCAGGTGTATTTCATATTTGTATGAGTTCTTCACATTGTTAATAGCTTGTTACCTGCATCTTCCGTTCTAATACTTGTTCTAAACCTGTATTGCATTGTGAGAAAATCTTCCCTAAACCTTACCATGTTTTGTAATTTCTTGCCATTTTTTACAGGATTTTTCCAAGGATAGGAAAATGGCATATAGTTCCTTACGCTTTCGGATTTGTAGGTGACTTGTGCGTTTTCTTTTCAGGAATGTTACTATGGCCACGTTTACTGATCAGGAAATCATTCCATCAGGCACGTGCTGTATATATTCAGAAGCCTTCTCTGAATAAACCGAAGATCCGATCGTACTTGCAGCACAAATAACCTCCACGCCGGGGGCCCTAACATATGCTGTTCAAAGTCCGGCAGCTCTTGAATGGTAGAATCGCCCAAGATTTGCATCTACAACTCATCTCCACTAGTGTTTCTAACTTGTTACTGTGTGCTTTCATTTGTACAACCATCTTGCCTCAGTAGTGCACCAGCAGTCCCGTCGAGGTAGGTCGCTCCACATCCTGACGGGGGTGCATGGTGGGGTCTCAAGTATTCCTTTCTTTCACCAGTCATCCTTAGCTTCCCCATCGCCCATTCTCGTTCTTTGATAATATCCTGTCTCTTTTCTTCTATTCCTTCTATTTCACTGTCCCCACATTCGGAAGAATTTAGATTGATAATTTCTCGCCATAGTCCATATATAGCCTCTCTTCAGGAAACTTTTCATGCCCATCATCCCCTCTGTCTTCGCGGGTTGGACATCTATCGGTTTGATCAAGATGACGGACTCCGTTCTCACGGCGTCGCTGTACTTATCCGTTGAATCCGGAGGAAGAAAACGTTCGAACAGACTTTCAAACTGTATACGTTCGGATACACCTACACTTCTTTTCGCTAACGGTGTGCTATATACGCATTCTACAGGCCAAGTCGTGTCACAACATGAACTTCAAAATATGTTTTCTCAGTTACCCCAGTACATTTGGGTGACTACTTAGGTATATGTGGTGATCATCCGCCGACATTTGATGATTGCAATATTTAAGTGCATTTCCTACGTCATTTATATAGATTAAGAAGGCCAGTAGCCCTAACACAGTGCCTTGAGCAACTCCGCGGTTAAGCTTCAAGTCCCTTAAGCTGCGGCTACCGAACACTACTCTTTGGGTTCTGGAAGTTAAGTAATGAAGAAATCATGTACGCGTGGGATGTGTAAATTAATGATTTTTAGTTTCGCGGTCAAAATGTGTTGATTTACTGAATCGAACGCTTTGCTGAAATCCAGAATAATCCTGATAATTATATGTGAGTAAAAATGTGCGTTCTTGGAAGCACTTAAGTTCGCCTTTAATCCACGTCATTAAGGGAAGCAGTGATTCAAGAAGTTTGCTCGATTCTATCTCCTGCTTCTCTTCTTGTGACCCTCTGATAATCCAACACCAAATCCATAATTTACTGGTGCATCGTTATAATTTGTTTTTTTTTTTGTTGGATCCCTGGTCACGTTAAGATGATAGGAAATGAAATTGCTGATCATACAGCAAAGCTTGCCACGAAGAAAGCCGAAGTAGACATCCTCACCGTCCCAACAAATGATCCGAAGCTGTTTATCAAACGTTATCTTTCGTTTATCAAATGTATTCTCAATGCATGGCAATCAGAGCGGCAAAACTCGGATTTTAATCTCACGAGAGTCAAGGATTCCATTATGCCTTGATCTTCCTCTTCTCTAGGCGTGAGGAGATAATTCTGACACGACTTCGAATCGGTCGCTGCCATTTCCGGCACGGACATCTCAGCGGTGACTCACTCCATACTTGCGATAGTTGCGAGACAGATCTTACAGTGGAGCGTGCTCTTCTGCACTGTTTTAAGGTAAAAGATAGGCGCCGAAGGCATCACCTTATTAACTCGCTAGTAGCGGTACGTGGAAATGACAAATCTTCTCTCTGAAAGGTTTTTGGTTACGAGAGACAGACTTCTTA